TTAGAAAATTTTGCCTGTTTAGTCCAGAAATAATTGAAGGCTGAGTTTTTTCTGTAAGCACAAAGATTATTCTCAGGTACTCATGAATGAATGTAAATAATCCATTTAAAGTTTCCATGCTTTCAGAGTTGTTCTTTAAGGACTGAACTGGCTAAATACCAATCAAGTTCTTAAATATCAAATACTAATTATTTATTTTATAGTGAAGTGTTTCTCACCATTAAATTAAAAGTAGGACCTCTCTGCTAGGGTATGTGGGCAGATGGTCAGGCCCTGGCCTGCAATTTGGGTCACTGAGGAGACCAGGAGTAGTTTTGACATGGGAGACGGCCAGATGCAGCAAGTAACAAGTAGCTGCTGGAGCATTATAGGTAACACTCAGGGAACTGGCTGAGCTTCACTGATGCTTGAGGAGGAACACAGGGACTACCTGGGGCATGGAACCTGGTGAGATGGAGATGAGCCCCTGTGGGGTATCAAACACTAAATATGGCTATAGATGTAGCAAGACTGGGTCCAACCACAAAAAAAAGTTTTGAGGAGGGTTATTTTGGGAGGAGGTGAGTTAGAGAAAGGGAGGAATTGAAGGACAAACATGGCAACATGGAGAGAAGTTGAGATAAGGGCTGGATGTACAGAGCAGGCTGGAATCAGTGTTTGTGTAGCTGGAATAATAGAGAATATGATACCTGAAAATAGTTCCCTGTTGTGCAATTCATGCTTAAAAACAGATTGCATTAAATATCCTGTGGACGGTGTTAGTTTTGTGTTTGCCCTCAAGTGAATTAACCTAGACAGCCCTACTAATATCACAGTCTTGATTCTGCCACAGTGAAGGGCCTTCACATGTTTGCTGGAAATGTAACATTTTCAGTTAGATGCTGTAAAACTGGATCTCTTGTAGGGGCTTCAGATCATCTGTTCCTGTAATGCCTGCTGTAGTGTCTGGTCCCTGCTTCCTGCTGCAGTTCAGCCCCTTCTGCCTTTAATTAGGGAATCAGTAAACTCTTTGTTGCTGGTTATTTTCACTGCTGTAGCTGTGGCAGACAATGTGCCTTACAGTGTGGAAAACCATCTTGATTCTTGATGACTTGTGATTTATTTTTTTTCTCCTTGTTTTTCAGCAGGTTATTTATCTTTTGCTGTTCCAGTATATCTGCACTGACCGATGTGCAGGGCCCAAGCACACTTCCTCCCTCAGCCAAAATAGCACCCAGAGCTCTCCTAATGCTGCAGAGGCTGTTGGCAGTGAGCAGTGGTGGCCGTGGGCCTCTCCTGGCTGGCAGGGCTGGCTGCAGTGGGTTACTGGCTACTTGTTACTGGAGCCTCAGTGGACTGTGTGGTGTGACATGGGGCTGTAACACCATCCCAGAGTCTGTGGGTTCTTGTATGTGCAGCCTGGGGCATGGCTTCTTGCTCCATGCAGGAAAGAAGATGGGAGACCACAAGAGATTCTTCTTCTTCAGTGGATGGGCACTGAGCCCTTAGCTGGTTCCGTGGGCCCTTCACCTTCAGGACCCAGATCCTTTCCCTGAGCTAGGGTAACCACCCCTACCGTGATGCAGGGGCTGCAACTTTTCACCCACGCAAAAGCAGTTTCTGGTGAGGGCTGGGACTCTGCACTCGACTTCGCTGATTATTTAGCTCAGACGGGAAGCTGTGGTTAGAGTTACTTGGTTGTTTTGGAGGATTGGGCTGTTTCTCGGCAAAAATAAAGGAAATGAATTTACTCGCTCAGAAGAGTGGGAAATGTAGCAATTCCCACTTCCTCATATTTGCATTTGTTGCCTTAATGCCAGCTAGCTGCTGCTGAGCCTGCAGCAGCTGGCTACAAACCCCAACTCAGCATCAGGCCAGGGCTGGATTTGGGTTCAGCTGTCCTCCCCATGAGAGAACTCCACCTCTCCTATTCACAGCAGCTCATCTCCATCATGTTTGGTGAAATGGGCACCTCTCACCCTTTGCTTTTGTGCTGCTGGACCATCATAGCCTCTTTGCTCAAGGACACTGGGTGGGCTGTGTGGTTTGCCTGGCACATGTGTGTGCTCCAGACCTGCCTCTGTTCAGAGCAGGGGAATGCTGTGGGCAATGGCATGGGGAAATGAGGCCTGCCTTGCCTTGGGATAAAAGCCAGGGACAAGCAGCCTGTTCTCATGGTGGAGGTATCATAGGATATTTATTTATGCATCATCATCTATGGTGTAATGCCCAGGCCCTGGGTGTCATGGGCTTGGAGTGCATAAGGAATGTCCTGGATCAACCTGTGGTCAGCCTGTGAGGCTGTGCTGCAGGAAGCCTCCCTCCACAAAATCCCGTGGAAGGAACAAAGCTGAGGAGGTTGGTGTTTATGCTTTTGCTGAAGGATGTTGTCATGCTTTGGATCCCCACAGACTCTTGGATCATGAGTGTATTTGGCAGCACGTGAGAGCAGGCAAAGTGGGTTTTGGCCTAAATCTTCAGGCAGTGCCCTGCTGCTTGTGACGCACTCCAGCGGGTCCCCAAGCCCGTCTCCCTGGCCATGCAGTGCTCCTGGGACCCTCAGGGCTCACAACTCCAAGCTCACACTTGCTGCTACCCCTGCTCCAGGGTGCAAACATTTCCACTTCTTGGGTGGCACCAATTTCCACAGCCATGTTAAATTACACATTTAGGCTTAGAGGAAGCGTCTTTCTGGTGCTGCTGCCCTGAGACAGCAGCAGCTCCTGAGGGACCAGAGGTGGCAAGTGCTCAAGAAATCTCACAAACGTCCCTGTTCCCTGCCTGGAGGTCGGCAGCCAGTACCTGACCTGGACAGTGGCTGAGGGGGAGCAGAAGATATGTGAGAGCAAAGTACCTGTACATCCATCAGGAGTACCCCGAGGGAGGTTTGCTGCTGGGTATAGTGAGTAATTGATATCAACAGGGAGTGTATAAAATTGGGACAAAATGGTCCTTATTGGAATGTCACTATTTTGAGAACTTCAAACTGTAGCATGAGTGGCAAACACCCTGTTGTAAACATTTAAAAGATATGAGTATTTCCCAGGTGGCATGCCAGGTTTTGACTTTGACCCTGAATAGGGCTGTACTGAAAAGATGGAATTTCCTGCAGAGAAAAGTGTCAGTAGCCACCATGGCTCAGCCACTGTGCCCAGTCCCTGGCTGCTCCGGTGTTCTGGTGCTACCCAAACACTTCCAGTTGTCAGAAGAAATCCCAAATCATTTTGGAAGTGGGTGTTGATGCTAAAACTGCCTTTTGATCCCAAAGACAGTCGGGATCAAAAGGCAGTTGGGCTGACCTCCATCCAGTAACAGGAGAGTCATGGCACTGGGCCACTGCCTTCTCCCCAGGCCAGATTCCCAGCAGGAACAGCCACCACCCTGCCTGGCTGATGTGCAGCAACACCCAGAGCCAAATTCCTCCTGGCACCTGTCACTTGACCTGAGCCACACACTAAGTTTTCTTTATGCATTTCCTCTGTCTGGGCCTGGGAACTGGGAATGCAATGTTTCCAGGAGGTACGGAAACACCAGCTGGCTCTGCCACTGCTGGGAGCTGCTGTGTAGGGCTGCGGCTGTGGGGATGTCCCAGCACAGGGTCCCACTTGTCTGTGCCACACAGGGCACAGACAGATGTGTGAACAGGGACCATCTCACCCTGCTCTGGGCAGGTGAGAGAAGAGTAATGGAGAGGCAAATGATGATCAACTTGGAAACCTGCTGGGGCTGGGAAAGCCCAGGGCTTTGTGCCTGTGCTGTGGGACACTCAGAGTGGTGGCACCGGGAAGTCCCTGCAGATGCAGGGAAAGGCTGTGGCAGTGGGGATTGAAGGGAC